GTGTCACCACATTGCTTATTAGGGCCTCAATAAGTTGATGAGGCTGACCTCAAACTAGCAATCATTCTGCCTCAGCTTTCCTAGTCTCTGAAATTATAGGTGTGTGCCACCTTGCCCAGTTATGTTTTTAAATTGACTGCTGTATTACTATTGAAGTTTATGGAAATGAGAATTTGATTTATTCACTGATTTTTGTTGTTGTTTGTTTGTTTGTTTTTGTTTTTTAGGGGAAGTGGCAATGTTGGGATATTTAGGAAATGATTTTTACCAGCTCACGATAGAAATCTTCTCAATGTTAAGATTATATTCAATTTGCTGTTTCTTATCACAGCTTTCCTGAAAAGGGATTGATATATAAACAAGGTCATCTCATAGGCCATTAAAGAGTCTTCATTTTTTTCTTAGATTTATTAGATGATTGTAAAGCCGGGTATTGAGCATTGAACCCAGGGGTGCTTAACCACTAAGCCACATCCCCAAGCCCTTTTTATTTTCATTTTGAGATAGGGGCTCACTAAGTTGCTTAGGCCCTTGCTCAGTGGCTGGGACTGGCCTTGAACATGCAATCCTCCTGCCTCAGCCCGCCCACCCCACCCCCCAAGTCACTGGGATCATAATCCTGCATCACTGTGCCTAGCAGGAGATTTTTTTGTTATTGTTGTTTGTTTTATCTATTTGCCTAATTCATACCTTTTTATTTTTATGCATTTTGACATAGCACTCCTGAGAAAAACAAGACTACTCCTTCTGTTATTGTTTTAGCCCTCTCTGTTTTTCAGATATGAAATAAAAATATATTTTGAGATGACTCTTTGAGATTTGATTGCTACATTTGCTATACTATCTTAAAGTTCAGCTCTTCAAGTTTTATAGCTGGTGTGCCAATTTACTAAAGAGTCTTAATATTAGTGTTTAATAAAATACTTGAAAGTTTCCAAAATTGATGCCTTGTCAGCCTCCTCAGAGCATACTAGCCTAAGTATCTGGATTTGTGCCATGGTAAGCATTGGGTGACTCCCAGCATTAGAAGCCAGAACAATCCCTGATGTAGACTTAATCTGAACCTACTCCAAAACTAGCTCAGTTAATCTAGGCATTCCTCCAAACTTAGAGTGACCTGAAACTGGACACACTACCAAAGCTGTGACCTTTATATTCATGCCTTCAGTGTGTATAGAGAAAGGTACTCTTCTTTTGGTTTAGATAAATATGAGAAGCCTACAGAGGCTTCCCTCCTTACTCCATTTGATTTCTAGAGCCCACTTGGTCTATCATTACCCCTGGCTTCATCTCCTATTGATCCCCCTTTTCTCCATCCAGCTGCTTTTCTGTTTCCCCACTGTCAATCCTTGTTCCTACTTCAGAGCCGTTTGCACTTGCTCCCCATTCTGTGGAAATGCACTGTTCTCAAACATCCCCATGATTTTAGATTGTGACGTAAGGTCAAGTCCTTAAATGTGATTCACATTTCACGTATTTCCAGTACTCTATCCCTGCTTCCCCCGCCCCGATACTTATAACCAACTAACAGAGTATACATGTTATTTTAATCCTTTTTATTGTGTCTCTCTTATTAGAGTATACTTTCCACGAGGACAGGAATTTTATCTGATTATTTTGCTTGTTTGATTTTACCACTAATTTCCCAGTGTTTGGTATACATTGAAGATGTTATAAATAATTTGAAGAAATAATGAATATTAAATAAACTGAGCTTACTTTTTATAAATTACTTCTGAAGTAGTTTTGATAGTGTTGAAAAAAGTGGCCATCCTGAATGTTGAGTCAGTTCTTTGGATATTGTAGTAGATTCTCAGGGGGAAGCAAATCAGAAGTTATACTTCTTACCTGTAGGACATCCAAAGTCACATCCAGCCTGCTAGWGTCTGAGCACACAGCATTTGTATGCATGAATACAGGTGCATAACAGTTTTTACGTTTAGTCTGCCCACTTTTGGTCCATGGAGTGTAAATAAGTATAATTTGCTTGCCATATTTTAAAATAGGAATTTCATACAAAATTTGATTTCAGATGCCTATCAAACAGAAGGTGTAACAAATACCAGGCCCACATATCCTTAATTCATCAATGCATGAGTTTTTATTCACATAGTTGGCCACTCGATATTGTTTTCTTACAATTAGAGCCACACACCAGTAGCTGAGTATCATTGCATTTTAAGCTCTTATTTTCCTACAGTAGAATTAACAGAGTTAAGAAACATTTCTCCTATACTCATAACTATCCAAAAAGTAGGAATTACTGTGAGGACTGTTTTTGTTTGTTTTTTAGAAAGAAGAAGAAACCTATTTATTTGGATAATTAAAGGATAGTTTCTACTGGTTTATTGTACACTTGGTTCATTCAGTTATATTATGTGGCCCCTTCTGAGTTTTCAGGCCTGTGGGAAAAACATGACATAAATGTTTTAATGTATATACGTGTCAGCAAGTATAATTGAGCAAAAGTGAATTGCACCTACATAAGGACTGTATTCATAGGCTGAGCTATATAAAATATGGGGTTTGAACTAGGCTTTGAAACAATTTTTTTTTAATTGCCAGAGATATTATAAGGAAGGTGTTGTAGGTAGGAAGAATTTGTGAGGGTGGTTTTGGGCTACTAGAGAAGCAAACTTGCTACTAGTCTCTGAGTTGGAAGAAAGGAGTATATTATTCCTTTTGTATGTATTATTTCTTAGTTATATACAGTGCACAAGATGTTCCAGGTGTAAGATACATAGAACACAAACAACACTGCTTTCACAGAGCTCTCATGCAATGATTCAGTTTGCTTTCAATCTTTAATTACTTAGTTTTATTAATATTTTAAAAATTTATACTTGAAGCRTTGCTCTAAATGCTATTTCCCAGGTGAATTAGCAAATAAAGTTAAATGTAATATACATAGAAATAATAGTATTAATAATTCTTTGTGGGGGGACATACTGTGGATTGAACTCAGGGGCATTCAACCCCTTAGCCACATCCCCAGCCCTTTTTTGTATCTTATTTAGAGACAGGGTCTCACTGAGTTGCTTAGTGCCTCAGCCTCCTGAGCCATTGGGATTACAGGCATGCGCCACTGCGTCTGGCTAATTCTATTAGTTTGAGTAGACCTCAATTAGTAATCACAGATTCTATGATGGGATGTCAGGTTTTGTATATTTATTTGATTTGTTGAACTCAAGTAGTTTAAACTTTGAGCTATATGAAAAGTTTTCTGCTCTAAGAAGTATATAGACTAACCAAATGCATGACTTTAGTATTTTAACCTGAACAGATATGGAAGTTTTTATTTCTATCCTGTGGACATGATTATTTGCATAACAAAAGGCTTCACTGAAATTTTTCATTAGGGGATTCACTCAGCACCATTTCAATGTGGTTTTCGTTTTATTTGTTCAGGAAAAGGAAATGTCTTGGATCTAATTACTTTGTGTTTTGAGGGTTTTTTTCCCCCCTCCCCAATTATTTTTTAGGTTTTTTTGTCCTCCTCCTTGTGTATATCTTATGGGCAGTGGATGGAAGAAAAAAAAAGAACAAATGGAACGCGATGGTTGTTCTGAGCAAGAGTCTCAACCATGTGCATTTATTGGAATAGGCAATAGTGACCAAGAAATGCAGCAGCTGAACTTGGAAGGAAAGGTAAGTCATGGCAGTTGGTTCCCTGTAAAAGTGGCACCAGTATGTAGTTTCCAAATTCATTTTTATGCAAGTGATTTTTTAGTGGTTGTTAGTGACAAATTTATTGTATATATAAATCAGAACCAGAAATATTCCTTTCACATATCTGTAGTCTCAACTGTTGACATCTAAAGGTGATAGGCAGAAAATTTTTGCAACTAGCCAGCAGTTTTAGGAGGCTGCAAGTCAGATATCCTTTGGAGTTGATGAATTTAGGAAGCTAATTATTTATCTTCTGTCAGGAATGTTATCAATGAAAATGCATCATCAGTAATGTTTTACTCTCTTAATCTTTTTAAAATACTACTACTTAGCAGTGATACAGGCAAATTCTTGGTGGGGGAACTTTTATCTGGATCATAAAGATTATACTTTACCTAACAGCAATGCAGAGCAGAACTGTGCTATAGACAAGAAGACAAGCGTTATCACTAGTCAAACTTTTAGAGGTTTTTCTTCAAACAGTTTTCAAGGGAAATAAATTTGTCCACTAGTTTTACTAATTGTATTTTGTGTTTTTAGAAAGTAGGAACTACTTAGTGCCTGAGTACTGATAAATAATTATTTAGTCATTTAGAATTTATTATTATTTTCCCTTAATATTAAAATTCAGAAAATGGTTTTGGTCTCAATGATTATGTGAATGTTTTTCAGTGCACAGAGGCCATTTCCTTGTTTAGTACATCTTTTTTGAACATCTTGGTTTTGCTGTGTTGTATTTGGCACTAGGGATTGAGGCTGGAGGATGATATGGAAGATATAAGCTAGGGAATTTGTATTCTCAAATTTAGTTTTAGTCATTTTACAGAAAGTGAGTACTAAAGCAAGACACTTTCAAATCTATTTGTTTGTTTCATTGTAGTTATTATTGATCAGGTTTCTTCATAACATTATTATGGATTTTCAGTTAGTTTGGGAACATCAGAGCTTCTGCTTACCAGTGTGTATAATTTTTTAAATTCAGCTTCATTACTCATTTTATCCAATTCCAGCTTCAGTAATTTTATCTTTCATGGAGGTAATACCAAACAAACCAACCAATAGCATCACTGACTACCTTTCCCAGCATCATGCTATAGTACCACCATGTTTAAATCCTATACCCTTAAGTGCTGCATCAGTGTGAAGATCTTTTTAATATCCTCTATCATATCTTTTCAAATCTTCTGTCATTATACCTTTTCCCAAGATCTGCACATTAGCAGAAAAGAACATCTGGGAGCTGAGCATTTAACTAACTTTTAAAACACCTGCTAATAGGGTAGTACAGTGTCTGTATGCCAAATATATTTAATTCATGTTAAGTTTAATTTTAATGGAAAATGCTATTAGAGAAGTATGTATAAAGTAGTACTAGATTACAGTCAGTAGAAAGTACTCCAGGCAGAAAGAACAACATAAGCATGTGCTTGGAGCAGAAGGGTGTAAGAATATGGTTTATCCCAGGTGGACAAAGACTGAGTAGAGGAGATTTGTTACAGCCTAGTTTTTATTTTTAAAAAATCACATATTCCATATTCTTGATAGCATTATTTTGTTTCCATAATCCAATTATTTTGCTTTTTTTTTTCTTGCATTAGATCTGCTATTTTTCATTTCAGGGCAGTGTTTTATTTATTAGCGATCTTGTCTTCAAAGAGTTGTTTTTAAGTTAACCAATGTTTATTATTTCTGGAAAGATTATTATATGCCATTTCTGCTCTGGAATCCCACTAGCTAATATAATTTAACCTTTTAGTATGTCAGCGCACTTGTAATTTAGTTTTTGTTTGCTTATTTTCTTGGAGTCTTAATATTTTCTGCGAGTCAGTGACTTTCTCCTTTTTTCTCATGGAATATGAATAGTATGTTGTCAATGGCCTTTGATTTTTTTAATTATTTGTTTATAAAGTTTTGATTATTTGTTTTGATTATTTGTTTATAAAGGTATGATTTTTGCTGACTCCTTTACTGTAATTAAGACTATATTTTTTTTCTTTCCAAGGAGATACATATGTGTACTTTTTCTAAACAAAGTCCTTTATTTGTAGGTCTGAGGCCTCAGCCTGCTTTGCTTTTTCCTTAAATGTTTCCCAATCTATTTATACTAGATTTCATTATTTTTCTCTTTCCTGATACAGATTATATCCATTAAGGTTAACACTCAAAATTAAATGATCTTAACCTTTTTAAGCTTTCCCATTGGAATACAATTCCCTTTATCTAGATAAACATTTTCATTTTTATGCTTCTTGTTACCATTTGCTTTAGTGCATTGGTACCCATTTTAATAAACCTCACCTTGTGTTGCAGAATTTCATTGTTTGGGCTTAATTTGACCTTTAGTGCTGTCATTTTTAAAAGTGCGGTGAACCCATGGACATAGTAGCTACATGTGTCATCTTCTGAGAGTCTTGCGTAAAAAGAGTTAGGTGACTGAAAAGTACTGTTTTTATTTTCTTTGTTTACTGTTATTAGTGTTGTTGTATTTTGCCTCCTGCAGAGCAGTTTCCCAAAAATTTTTCCCAACTTTTGAATGTATAAAAACTTGAGTATGGAGTATTAAATTTTCTTTAGTAGCTTTCACTATTGAGAAACAGAAATTACTGCAGTATTGTTAAGTACTATTAATGCTGCCTRTTAGTAAAACTGCAGACAAAAAAAGCCTGGAACTCATAGGCTGTTTCCTAAATGAGTGGCATTTGCCCTGTTTTTTCAAAGGAACACACAGCAGAGGTAGTTGAGGCACTTTTTAATCATAATCTTGGGTTTTTAAAAAAATATATATTTTAGAGTATCATTTTACCCTATCAGGAAAAGTATGTCAGTAATTTATGTACCTCCTCAGGGCTCAAGGGAATAGGAAAGGTGTTAGAGCTGTTAAATATAATTGAAGTAGCAGTATTTTGAAGTATCCTTGCTGTTTTTGAAAGTGCTGAAAACTTTGTTTTCAGCTTCCTGTATAATGTTCAGTTTCCATATCACTGTGGGGGACCAAGTTCATCTCCAGCTCCAGAAGCACCGTGTGGGTACCTGACTTGAACTGGTCCCACTTTCATGGTTGGGATCCGAATTCTTGGTATTTGAGCTAAACATGGCTTGTCCTTGTTGAGTGCTGGTTTAGGAAGAGTCACACCTCTTGCTAGAGCTCGTTATATGCCGCCACGGTTTTTGTATTTTATTGACTTCATAAGGAAGATTTTGTATTTTCTGTTCAGAGATCAATTTTGATAATTTTTACAGTTGACCTGTGGGCTGCCCATTGGAATGATTTCATTTAAACCTGATCAAACCTAGTCATGGCCTCTGTTTTAGATATTATAACCAGTAATATTTTGATGCTATTAATACTTTACTTTTCTTTCACAGAACTATTGCACAGCAAAAACATTGTATATATCTGATTCAGATAAGAGAAAACACTTCATGCTGTCTGTAAAGATGTTCTACGGCAACAGTGATGACATTGGCGTGTTTCTGAGCAAACGGATAAAAGTCATCTCCAAACCTTCCAAAAAGAAGCAATCATTGAAGAATGCTGACTGTATGTACACTTGAGTTTTCTTCTTTTTCCTGAACTTTCACCAGGAATTGATAGGACACACTTTTTTTATCCACCAGGAATTGAGAAGACACTGCTTTTTCAGTAGCCAATTTATTCTTTTTTTGCGCGCATGGGGTGGGGACGTGCCAGGGATGCTTTACCACTTAACCACATCCCCAGCAGCCATTTTTTATTTTTATTTTGAGAAAGGGCCTCCTTAAATTGCTGAGGCAGGCTTTGAACTTGTAGTCCTCCTGTCTCAGCCTCCCAAGCCACTGGAATTACAGGTTTGTACCACTGTGCCTGGCCAATTCATTCCTTACTAGTACTTTTGGGCCTGCCTGTCATATTGGGGTGTTTTGTTGTTGTTAGTGATGGTACCCGGTAGCGCCTGGTCTAATGAAGTAGTTCTGAACCAGAGATGGTTCCTTATTGCTCCCTAGACGTATTAAAGAAAATGGGACATTTATTTTCTTTTCATTCTTAGTTACTAGGAAAGAGATGATGTTTGCATGTGATGTCTTGGGCCAGTGACGCTAAATGTCCTGTAGTGTCCAAGATAGTTCTCATTCCATAAAGAACTGATAAATTAACTGGTTATGATAAAGACCCAGAATGTCAAAAGTACCTCTTTAAAAAAACATTGAATGAACTTTCGAATGCCATCCTGAGAACCTAATCAAAATTTTAACATCTCTAGCAGAGATTGCTGTCTCATCAGCAAATTCCTAGACTACCAAAGATACATGCTATGTATTTGAATTGTACATGTCAGTACCCGTGCACAATTTTTTAAAATTTAACTTCATTTTGGAAATTTTCAAATTTATATAAAAGGGAGAAAAAAGTATGATTTAATAATTCACCCAACCTCAGTAGTTTTACCAATTTTATTTCGTCTTCTTCATCACCACTGAAACTTCTTCTTTTTCCAGCTGCTAGAATGTTTTCATGGAAGTTTCAGACATATTGTCCTTTCAACCAAATTTTCTGCAGTAATGACTCTTAACACATAATTTTGTTTTAAAACATCATTACACCTTACAAAGTTGACTGCAGTACTTTCAAGCCATTTAATATCCATTCTCTGTACAGATTTATCAGTGTCTTCTCAGTGTCTTTTTTTCAGTTGTTTTTTTTGTTTTGCTGTTTCATTTTACACTTGGTTTGTTCAAACCTAGATCCAAACAAAGTTCAGCAAATTTTAATTTGTGATGGTTTCTTATCTTACCCTCATTTTTTCTTTCTGTGACATTTATTTGCTGAATAAACTGGGTCATTTTTCCTGTGGAATTTCCCATATTCTGAATTTCGCTGATTATATTCTGTCTCTCATGTTATAAACTGGTAGTTGAATTTTTCAAATTAGTTGATGCCAGGCATGGTGGTGCACACCTATAATCTCAACAACTTGGGAGGCTAAGACAGAAGAATTTCAAGTTTGAGTCCAACCTCAGCAACTTACCAAGGCCCTTAGCAATTTAGGGAGACCCTGTCTCAAAATAAAAAAATTAAAAGGGCTAGGGATGTGGCTCAATGGTAAAGTGCCCCTGGGTTCAATATCCAGGATCATAAATAAATAAATAAAGTCTGGAACCGTGAGTAAATAATAAATAGGCAAGCAAGCTGGTCATTTTCATCTGATCAGAAAGCATATAATATCTGGTTATCCCTTTTTTGTCAGGTTAGATTGATTATAGTAAGTTCAGTTGTTGTAGTAAGTTCATTTGTAACCGAATGGCTRTCGTAGCCATTACTTCATCAAGGGCTTCAAATGGTGATTTTTTCCCCCAATTGTTTATTCCTAACCTGCATTTGTTAGTTCAAGTTTTTTCTACATAGAACTTTGCCATATCAAGTATTTGCTTCAGAATGTAGTCAGTAGAATAAAAGGCAGGATAAATGCTTGTTTTCTAATTTGTATAGTAGTATTCTTAGAAACAGTGAGGTTTCAGTGGTTTGGTTTTGTTTGCCTGAATTTCATTTTGTTTTATTATGCACTCATGGGCTTTTATGGTGGATATATTTTATTCTATCCAGCTCTTATTAATATCATCATTTACTTAATATTGTGGAAAATTTCAGGCACACTAACGTAGGCAGAGTTGCATAATAGGATAAAACCCCTGTGTTCTCCTTCAATAGTAATCTTACTTCAGACCAAATCTCACTTTATTTTCAGCTGTACCCCAACCCTAGACCCACTTTCCTCTCTTCTAATTTTAGTTTGATGTAAATCCCAGACATTATGTCATCTGTAAATATCCCTGTGTGGCTGTAAAAGATGATGTTCTCCTGTAATTACAGTATCATGATTACATAAAAACAATATATAAGACAACTCTAAGAAAAAATACTTTTTTAAAATGTCATCATATATAGTCTGTGTTCAAAGTTAAAATAGTCTACAAAATGTCAGTTTTCAATTGATTTGAATCAAAATTGAAATTTTCCGGATATTAAAATATATATTGTGTGGAGATGTCCTTGTGTATTCTTTAACAAACACCCTGCCTTGCAGCATATTTGTTCAATCATTGATGATTTCCACATCCCGGATTTTGCTAATTTCATCCCTTAGGTATAGTTTAATGAGTTTTTGTGAATTGGTGCCCAAAACAGCTGGACAGTAGTTAAAGTGAAAGACAGATTTCATTCAGTACTATTGCTATAGTGGAAAAAAAGACCTAAGTATAGAACTGAATTCAATTTTGAAATACAACAGTCAAGTAGGGATGTATAGCCATGGAATAAAGTGAGGTGGTCAATGGGTAGGAAAAATACAAAGAGCAGAGACATCAAAGGTAGGGGAATCTTTGCTAAACTGCCTTAGCAGGAGTCCTGCTAAAGGCAAGCAAAGGTGATCACATATCAAGAGTTGGGGCATGATTTAGAATTTGCTACAACCTCCTAAGCAAACCATTTGTGTTAGTCAGCTTTGTGTCACTGTGACTAAAATACTCCATAAGACCAACTTTTGAGTAGAAGTTTTGGGATCATGGTTTCAGAGATTTGGTCCATTGTCAACGAACTCCATTGCTTTGGGCTCAAGATATGGCAGAATACCATGGCTGAAGGGCAGCAGGAAAGCTGCTTACCTCAGGACAGTTGGGAAGCAAAGAGGAGGGGAAGAGCCAAGGGGACAGGATATGGTCTCCAAAGGCTGTTCCCAGTCACCTACCTCTTTCAACAATACCCCACTTGCCTAGAGTTACCATTCAGAATAGCAGTCCTTTCAGATTATTAATCCATCAAGTGAATTAATTCACTGATTAAATTATGGTTCTTATAATCTAATCATTTTACTTGCATTGGCACAAGGGCTTTGGGGGATGCTGAAACACAGCAGACTCTGTAAAGTTTGTTCAGAAGAGAAATTTTGCATGTGGTTAATCTTAGAATCTTGATAAGATTTAAATTTGTTATTTTGTTGTTGTTGCTGAAGGGCAAGACTACTTCACGGATGGTCATGTGTCTCTTGTATCAGGAGGCATATAATGTCTGGTATTCAGGCTATTTTCAGTTCAAATTACATAGTTTTATTTAACATCTTTAATTTCTGTATTTATATTGAATATTAATTTCTTGAAGGCAGAGAACATATTTCACTTTCAGAATGTTTTCCTAAGTTACATGGAAAGTAACTTTCCTAACTTACTTGTTTTGCACATCTGAAGTAAGTAAAAATTTACTTATGGTAGGTTTCATGCAGTACAACATTTAAGGTATTTTAGAAGACAGCAGTGTTTTCTAAAATCACAACACAGGCAAATGCTTCTCTATGCATATATTCTGTAGGGTAGAACACAGGCCTTTTTTCTTTCAATGATATTTTTTTCATCAGTGAATTTAGGTACACATGGTTTAAATATGTAAATGGTATTATAATCTATTTATTATTTTAAAAATGATTTTTCCTATAACTTTTCATTAAGCATACCGTGCAGGTCTCATTTTAAAATGACTTCTATGAACATATTTTATATCATTTAGCTTAACATTATTAATAGGGGTTAACTTGACCTTTTTCAGTGTTATCTGTACTTTATCAGACTAAAATATTTGTCATCAGAATCTGCATTCTGATTCAGATTACTTCATATTTTTATAATATAATTTTATATATTTATTAATTTATAACAAATAGTCATAACTTGCCAAGCAGAAGTCCCTTCTTATTCTCTCACTCCCACCACCCAGTCACATAAACAGCAGTTGTTTTTTCCTTTGCAGTATGCATTGCCTCAGGAACAAAGGTGGCTTTGTTTAATCGACTTCGGTCCCAGACAGTTAGTACCAGATACTTGCATGTAGAAGGAGGTAATTTCCATGCCAGTTCACAGCAGTGGGGAGCATTTTACATTCATCTCTTGGATGATGATGAATCAGAAGGAGAAGAATTCACAGTCAGAGATGGTTACATCCATTATGGACAAACAGTCAAACTTGTATGTTCAGTTACTGKCATGGCACTCCCAAGATTGGTAAGGCCTTATTTCTGCTTTAGTGATGTGTGAAGTAAAAATTAATTCTTAAAACAGGAAAGTTCTAACATTCAGATATAAAAATATACCTCAATTGTATGCTTTTCAATTTAAAAAGGTAATGTCAGTTATCCCTATTTCTTATAGTTCCTAAKCATTTCTTTTTCTTTTCTTTTGAACTCAGGGGCACTCAACCATTGAACCACGTCCCCAGCCCTAGTTTGTATTTTATTTAGAGACAGGGTCTCACTGAGTTGCTAGGCACCTTGCTTTTGTGAGGCTGGCTTTGAACTCATGATCCTCCTGCCTCAGCCTCCCAAGCTGTTGGGATTACAGGTATCTACCACCTTGCCCAGCATCCTACCTTATTTCTGAAATGGTTTAAAGACTAGCCTATTACTACAAGTGTTTTGTTTTATTTTTTGTTTTGATACTGGGGACTGAACCCAGAAGTACTTTACTACTGAGCTTCATCCCCAGCCCTTTTTATTTTTTCACTTTGAAACAGGGTCTTGTTAAATTGCTTAAGGCCTCATTAAGTTGCTTTGTGTAACCTCAGACTTAAGATTTCTCCTGCCTCAATTTCTGGGGTCAGTGGGAGTACAGGTATGTGCCACCATGCCCAGCTACAAGTGCATTCTTAATGACCTCCTGTTAGGCTCCTCCTAGCAAAGTTTGTGGCAGTTTCCTTTTGGTTGTGTATCTGTACGTGTCGATAGAGGGCACTGTAAGTTACAGTATTTTTTAATTCCTTACTAATGCATATACACTGTTACTCTTTTTTTTTGTGTGTGTGTGTGTGGCACCTGTTTTATTCTGCTATGGGATCAAAGTTTTCAAAAGCATAGAAATTCTTATTCCTTTCAAAATATAAACTTATTTTCATTAGCTTACTGTCTAACAATATAGATTTGTTAAAAATAAATAAAATTTGGTATTTGGGGGAAAAGCATAAGAATTGGGGCTTTTTGTTTGCTAGAGCATCTTGAAACTGTAAGATTATTTTTCTTAGTAAAATGAAAACAAGTCCCTTTCAACTCTCTTCCTTTTCTCAAAGAATATGATTCAGTTACACTAAGGTGACAGGGATTTATAGGTAAGTTTGTACCAGATCACATTGAAGGTGTTGGGCAAGTGGAAGAATATTCAGTAATGCTATTCTTTATCATGCTTTATATTTCATTGACTTCTGTTTTCTGGGGCTTGATTTCAGCAGAAGCAGATGGGGTCTGCAGATCTCTGAATAAATGTATCATTTATTTATCTATTTTTTGTTTTATTTTTCTATTTCATGGCTATACAAATTTCCCCTTCAATATAATAAGCTAAAATATTAGCTTATTACAGATTAATTGAATTATAATACAGTTAATCTATAAAGCATTGAAGTTGCAACAAATTATAACAAAAATTGTAAAGGTAGGGAAGAACAGGTGTAAAAAATGAAAAGAAAGAAGCAAACAAAAAAAAAGTCAACAATTGTTCAGCTCTTTTCTTCTAGTTTATTGGGTGTTACCCTATTCCAGAGATGACGTTCATTTGCTTATACTAGAGGAGCTCAAGTTCAGAGGCTTATACCTCTGATCTGCAACAGCTTACATGTGGACCATCTAGAAGACAGACCCAAATCTTAAGTGTTTTCACTTAAGGTTTCATGCAAAGTAGAAGCAGTCTTCCTTGCTTGAAAGTCATCATTAATTGAATTTTTATATTCAAAGTTATAATAAAAAATTAAGGGATTTATTAGAAAAAAGTTGTAGCACCATCATTAACATACTGATACATGCCCTTCTAGAAATTCTATAATTGAGAAATTCTGACTACTTTCCTCAGAATCATAGGTAGAGGTTAGTTAGTACACTACTTCCTATACCTCTTGATATGCAGTTTGATCTCTACTGTTGTGCAGTTTTCAACAGGTACAAACATTCTTTAGCTCTTATATGCTTTTAAAAAAATTATCCTCAGCAGGTGTGGGGTTGCATGCCTGTAATCCCAGTGATTCAGAACATCAAAGTAGGACKATCACAAGTTAGAGGCCAGCCTCAGCAAATTAGTGAGACCCTGTCTCAACAAATAGAACAAATAAAAAGGACAGGGGATATAGCTCACTGGTATAGCTTCCCTGGGGATTCAAACCCCAGTACCTCCCCCAAAAGAGAAGGAAGTTGTTAATCCTACCTTATTATCTGAAWTTTTTTTAAATATTTATTTTTTAGTTATAGTTGGACACAGTACCTTTGTTTTATTTATTTTTATATGGTGCTGAGGATTGAACCCTTGCACATGCAAGGTGAGTGCTCTACCATTGAGCCACAACCTCAGCCCTGAAAGTTGTTCTTGATACTTCCTAAAATGTTAGCCTCATTGGAGAGCTTTGCTTGGAAACACTGTTCTTCCCTGACCAAATTTTGGTGGAATAAGTGTCCTAGTGAAAATCCTGGTGTTTTAGAGTGCTCTCAAAACAGATTGTGTATGCAGGTCAAGTCAACTAACTAGAAACTAACTATTAACCCCTTAATTGTACAAACTCATCAGTATGTCAGATACTCCAGGGTTAGGAGCATATAAGATTTGTTCTATTCCTTAGGTGTTGATGTGTTGAAGTCACACTAGTAGTCTTTGCTCTTTGTGCCGTTTAGAATGCACATCACTCCATTTGGATGAGCAGCCCAATAACATAGAATCAGCCAGTGTTTACTGGGCAAGTACAGCGTTAGGAAAATGAATAAAATAAGCTTCTGTTTGAGGGCTGTATTCTCTTAGTCTCTGAAATATAGTGATTGCACCAACAAAATGTACAAAACCAGCTTGCTTAGAGGAAAGGGCCTGTTACTCAAGCAGCCCCCAATGTATAATGAATGTACAATTCACCACACAACATATCTGAGTTGTAATAAGTTTGTAATCCCTTTTTTCTCAAAATTTCTTTCTCTTAATAGTTAAAAACATTCTCGGGGTAAATTTTTAATGCCGTCTTTGGCTTCTTTATTGGTGAGAACAAAGTCATTCATCAGTGTCTAGGTCTGAAGTACTGTTGAGGGAAATGAAAACATACCACGTGTGGTCAGTGTGGGTACTATTACTAGCCAGTATTGAAATAACAGGCACACAGATTACAGTTGTAGAGTTAACTGGTTAAGATGTTAAGTAATTCCAAGACTTCTGGGAAGCTTGAGATTTACATCATTTTTAAAATCAGTTATTTCTCTAAAATCCAAACCTCATTAAATTTAAATGTAGCCCTTGAACATTGAATTAAAACATTGTGCTTGAGTTTAATTAGTCTCCGACTATCTTAGAAGCTATAATCACTGAAAATGTAGTTTCCCTTTTAACTTAAAAATTACTTTTGGTAGGATGACAAATATTTTGACTAAAAATAATGCAGAGCTAAAAATGTGTAAACATGAGGAACCCTAACTAAAGATTAGAGCTGTCTACAGTTGTGGCTTAGCTGAAGTAGGATGATCTCTGAATGTCAGTGAGGCATGAATGAAGTAGTGAAATCAGTAACATTGCACAATATTAGTAGCAGCACTGTGAGCACCACATTGATTAATTCAGTCCTCACAGTTGTCGGGGAGTAGTTGCTGTAAGGACACAGAGCATTACAAGGTAGGTGCATATGCGCATGCATTTTCCACACAGTCCTGAGCACCTTCTGAAGTGTGCCTGGCACTGCCCAGAGGCTGGAAATAACAGCAGAAAACAGGACAATTCCTCTCCTTGTGGAGCTTACATTCTGTTAGGAAGCTAGACAGAAAATATCTTAAAAGATTTATGTAGTGATAAAAAGGCCAATTAAAATGAGATAAAGAGGAGAAGTGACTTCAACTATTAATCTCAGAGCTAGGGGACCGACCTGGAGCCAGAAGTAGAGGCGCTGCTGGCAAAGGCGGAGCAGGAAGAGGTAGAGAAGAGGCAACGCACCACAGTGCACAAGGATCTGGAGCTGGAATTTGACCTGGGTAATCTGCTGGCTTTCAACTGGAACACACACACACACACACACACACACACACACACACACACGCACGCCTAGTGCTGCAGCAGGTGGGACCCATGCCAGAAGCCGAGCTGCGGGCCTTGGCACAGGACAATACGCAACTGCTCATCAACCAGCTGTGGCAGCTGCCCACAGAGCATGTGGAAGAGGTGCTGGTGGCCTGGATACCGAAGCCTACCATGTGCCTGCCCGCATGAGAAGCCGCACGCTGGCAGCAGTTCACGCACCTTAAGGGCATCCATTCTGAGAAGAAAAACAATCTGGTGTGTGACTAGGTGAGCTGCTAGTGACGGCGGCCACGCTGGGACTAAAAGCGCGCCGGGGATGACTACAAGGAATGGCTGATTGAGGTTCCCAATGGCGCCAACCCCGTAGAAGACCAGTTCGCCAAGCGGATTCAGGCCAAGAAGGAATGCCTGGCCAAGAACAAGCTGAAYCGGCTGCGTAATCTGGCCGGTGCACACAAGATGCAGCTGCCCAGCGCGGCTGGTATGCACCCTACCAGACACCAGAGTAAGGAGGAGCTGGGCCGCGCTATGCAGGTGGCCAAAATCACCACAGCCTCTGTGGGGCGCTCGCCTCCCCAAAGAGTTGGCTTCCTGGGGTTCAGGCAAGAAGAGGAAGTTTCATCCCCTTTTGGGGAACTTTGGAGTGGAAAGAAAGAACCAGTTGGAGCTACTTCGAGTCATGAATGGTAAAAAGCCTCAGCTGGATGTAATGAGAGCCAGCAGCAAGCAGATGAGAGAAGGGGACCAGAAGGAGGCCGCCAAAAGGAGAAAAATGAGCCAGAAGGGCAAGAGGAAAGGGAACCCGCAGGGTTTGGGAGGCTAGAAGCATGCTGGGCCACCTGGCGTGGGTGGCAAGAGAAAAGGAGGAAAGAGGAGGAAGTAACGCTTCATTCACCCTTGGACCTGTTCTGTAAAGAAAGAACTGTATGCTGAATGTTAAGTTTTTGGTACTGTTGCAGGGCAGGACCACTGTCTTCCTTGAGTTTAAGGTTGAAAGGACAAAATTGTCCTCCCCTCAAGAAAGTATGTAAGTGTTCTACTGTACAGGTTAAAGCCTTTCCCACAAACGAGACTTTAGCTAGTGATGAAGGGTATATTTGAGGACACAAGAATCAGAAAAATAATTTGCCCATTTTACCTTTGGTTTACGGGGTGAAGGAGAGTTGGTGACATTTCGGAGACTTATGGTAGATTAATGTATATATTTCAATATTTGTTATTTTTGTAATAAGTTTTATGCTTATCAGATCTGGGAGGGGAGAGGAAAGATGACATTTTCCTAAGTCGATTTAAAGAAACTGTGGGGCTGGGGCTGTAGCTCAGTGGTAGAGCGCTCACCTAGCACACATGAGGCACTGAGTTCAATCCCCAGGACCTCATAAAAATAATAAGAAGAAAAAAATAAACGGTTGTGAAGGTAATTTTTTTAAAAGTGAGATAAAGAGGTGGAGGATTGGACAGGGCTTAGAGAGTTCATGGAAGTCTTTCTAAAGTGACAGTGTTTGATCAGAGACCGAATGGAGTCAAGGAACTGGTGAGGAGCACTTGAGCCTGACAGAATGAGTCCAGCAGAAATTAAGACAGGAATGTGTGAGGACCAGTGTAGCCAGAGCAAAGAGAGGCAGGTGCGAGGGCAGGAAATGAAGCTGCAAAGTAAGCTTGGGAAGATCTTTAGGGTCCCTCTCTGTCTAAGGTAAAGGACTTTATCTTACTTTCTTATGATAGAAGGCCACTGGAGGGTTTTTAAACAGGATGATGGCCTATCTATGTCCAGAAGGATAGTTCTGATTACTGTGTGGAGAAAGCAATAAGGATGTGGCAGTAGAAGTCATTTATTGAATTGTTGAGTTGAGAAAGGATCAGTTTAGGAAATTCAAAATCCTGCTTTTGCTATGTTAAACTTTAGTTGCATATATTGGATATCATAAGAAATGTTGAACAGGTGATCTTGGACTTCTGGCCTCAAGAACTGAGAGAGAATATATTTCCTTTGTTTAAAAAACAGTATATTGATTAGGTAGTTAAATATAAAAGTTAATGTAGGAGAGAGAATAGGCCTAGAGATTTAGAGTTGAGAGTAGTCAAACTCTACATTGCATAGAGTATAGAGTATTAAAGGAGAAGTCAGGACTCAGCACTGCACACCGTACAGGTTGGTGAGAGCACTGTGGCACCCAGAGGAGAATGTCTCTGCCATATGCCTCCAAGAAAGTGAAGTAAGACAATGAAGGAGAAATGCCATGAGGTCATCTGTCTGAAATCCTCAGTGGCCTTCATGAGTAGTTGTAATGAAACCTTTGAGACAAGATCGGAGAGATTATAAGAGATGGGTCAGTGGAGAAGAGGCCTTTGCTCTCAAGGGAAAAGAGAAATAACAGAGTTAGTAAGATGGAGGGACAGGGATATGCACTCCAGAGAGGGATTTTTTACTCTTGATTTTAAAATGAGAAATAGTTTATAGCTGTTGGGATTGACCAATAAAAAGGGAAAAAGAAATTAAAAGCAGTTTTACTATCCTCATCTTCATTTATTTAATGATTTCCTTCTATGTGTTAAGTGTCATTAAGGTCTGTTAGTATCAGCTAACCATATGTGTTTTGTGGACTATTTGGGTTATAAAATTTTGAGCAGCTTACCTTACCTCTCTGAGCCCATTTTTTGCAAAAACTAGTTTAGTTTACTTTCTATTAAGTATGTAAACAATTGGGTAATGGATATAAAATGTCTGCACTGACTACCACACCCACAGTAGCCATCTAGGGATTTTCTCCTTCATCATTGTAATATTTGTATATTATTGGGAATATCATCAGAACTAGCTGGTCCACAGACCAGAAGCATTAACATCACCTGGGAATTTGTTAGAAATGTTGAGTGTCAGGCCCCACATGAGCCATGCCTCATTAGAACCTATATTTTTCACAAAAACATGAGATGATTTATATGTGTATTAATGTTTATCTAGAAAACAAGTGGTCTGCTCTGGTTTTTTTTTTTTTTTTTTTTTTTTAAGATTTTCATGGAAGAGAGTAACAATTTCCACATTCTGACACGCCCACCATCTTAATGGATTTTTTTTTTTATTCCTAGCCTTATGTTTTTCTGTGTAGATAAGGACATTTAACTGTGATATATTATTTTATAGCATAATGTTCTGTGTGTTCTTGACACTCTACAAAATGATAACTCTTTTCATGTGTGGATGACCTTTTATTTTTTGATTGTTGAAATATAGATAATTAGGAAAGTTGATAAACAGACAGCATTACTGGATGCAGATGATCCTGTGTCACAACTCCATAAATGTGCATTTTACCTGAAGGATACAGAAAGAATGTACTTGTGCCTTTCTCAAGAAAGAATAATCCAGTTTCAGGTATGTCTTAAAATTACTGCTGAAATCTAAAATATGCAAGTAGGGCTGGGGGTGTAACTCAGTAATACCTAAGGGCRCTGGGTTAGATCCCCAGCACAATAAATAAATGAAATGTGTAAATGGATTAGCAGTTTACAGAAACATGAAATTCTAATTTGTTTTTAATTGTATCCAAATACATGAAACTGTATTCAGATATTTATCTCAGATCCAAGGGTCCTCAGACATGCCTGTGATTCTACCTCAGGAAGAAACTTGAAACTGTAAAATGTTTCAGGGGCTTTAGGAGAACAGAGAGCCCCCTTGTAATATCTAGAAATAGATTTCCATGTGTTTAGAGAATCTTCTGAAATCATGTACACACATTTTATAAGGAAAACATTTTTCTGAAAGAGGATTCAAATTTTCATCAGATTTACATTGGGATCTCCCAAGATAGTAATGACGACATGATTCAAAAGCTAATTTTTAGCTGCATCAAACTCAGGTTTYACAAGAACATTATGAGAAGGGCATGTGATTTAATAGTACGGTTACAGTTTCATCTCCTTTGTAAACTCCCATTCCAGAGAGATGGTCACACACACTAATGAGTGACCTGGGTCCCCTGTCTAGGTGTATTATGGCAGGAGTAGGAGGTCGCCAGTCCTGATCTTGGTTTCTTCTGCTGAAAATGCATCAGCTTCTAGCTGTCCTCTAAACATAAGGAGTTCCCATGGTGTCTGAGTCTTACAGGGCCCTTAAGAATTTTAAGCATCTATTTTGCATCTCAGAAACTGATCTTGTATTAATGAAATTGTACCAGTAATGTGTACTATTAAGGGATGTACTGAAATGTATTATTAGTTATTTAATATATCACTGAAATATTTTATAACAAAAATGGCTGTTTGGTTTTCATTAATATTCCGTTGAACATATAAATATGAATATGTGAATATATAAAATATGCTGTCAAAGCAATATACTTGAGTTCTCCTTGTTTAATGACACTCTGTAAAAACTATAAACACTCTGCAAATGTTGTTGGAAGTTTTTAATATGCCGTATTATATATAAAACTCAGTTTCTGAACATTCTTTCTCCATAAGGCCACTCCATGCCCGAAAGAACCAAATAAAGAAATGATAAATGATGGAGCTTCCTGGACAATCATTAGCACAGATAAGGCAGAGTATACATTTTATGAGGGAATGGGCCCTGTCCTTGCCCCAGTCACCCCTGTGCCTGTCGTAGAAAGTCTTCAGGTGAGACCACTTAGTCACAATGTAACTTAACTTTTTGCAGCTGTTTTCAGCTATAGCTTGGCATCGTTTATTTCATAGTAATTCTGATTTTTTTTTTAAATTTTGCAATCTGGGGATTTTGTTAAACATTATTTGTTGCAATAAAAGTGAAAATAAGGTCCGGCATGGTGGCATATGCCTGAAATCCCAGCCACTTGGGAAACTGAGGCAGGAGGAACACGAAGTTTGAGGCTGGCCTCAGCAACCTAGCAAGAACCTGTTTCAAAAAATAAAAGGGGCTGGAGACGTAGCTTGATGGAAAAGTGCCCCTGGGTTCAATCCCCATTATCAAAAAAAAAAAAAAAGAGAAAGGAAGAAAAGAAAAATAGGAGCAACATGCATGCAAAGAAAYTTAAATCAACTTATATGTTATCTTGGGATATTTTTAGCTAGCTTTATGATCAAGCCTTTTAAAATAAACATAGATGTTGAAAGATGAATGAGAACCTAATTTGTGTACTTTAATGAAAAATGATTTTCTGTAAATTGCAGTTGAATGGCGGCGGGGACGTAGCAATGCTTGAACTCACAGGACAGAATTTCACTCCAAATTTACGAGTGTGGTTTGGGGATGTAGAAGCTGAAACTATGTACAGATGTGGAGAGAGCATGCTCTGTGTTGTTCCAGACATTTCTGCATTCCGAGAAGGTTGGAGATGGGTCCGGCAGCCAGTTCAGGTTCCAGTAACTTTGGTCCGTAATGATGGAATCATTTATTCCACCAGCCTTACCTTTACCTACACACCDGAACCAGGGCCACGGCCACACTGCAGTGCAGCTGGAGCAATCCTTCGAGCCAATTCAAGCCAAGTGCCCCCGAACGAATCAAACACAAACAGCGAGGGGAGTTACACAAATGCCAGCACAAATTCAACCAGTGTCACATCATCTACAGCAACAGTGGTGTCCTAACTACCGTCTTTTTTGCTAGGACTTAAACTGACTTGAGTGTGGCAAAAAGTTGACAAAAAAAGAAAAAAAAAAGAAAGAAAAAAAAGAACAATCTT